TTAGCTTTGTGTAAGGAAGCAAAGATAAACTATACGGGGTTAGCTCTCCCTTAGAGAAATGTACCTATTTCAGGCACTCTCCTCTCTTTTCTCCACGCTGCTGCCAAAGCTCAAGCCAGAAGATGGCAGAATATCAAGGATTGATTAAGTGCAACCTGAGCTGCGAGTTGAAGGTGGCTGCTCGCAGCTCCTCTTTCGCAGAGCGCCTTGCATTTACTGCCTGACATCAGATAATTCAATCTGGCCTGCATGCAGAGCATCTTGTGTTTATCATTAAAATTTCATCCCAGCGGTTACGATGCTTGTTTTCTGGGTCCGACCTTGAATCCCTTTTCATTTGAGAGAGCGGTGTTTGTGGTTACCTCATTCCCAATCAATGTTGTATTTGCCAGCCTTTCTTCAGTTACATGTCTCAGAGGATCTTCTTTAAAGGGATGTTGTCCTCCCCTCTCTCCATGTTCAATTCAAATGTAGTTTTGTCTTTTAAGTCAGAGTTTACTTAAAGCAATTACGTGTCTTCCTTATGGCTTTTATAAATTACTACTGGTGATTACGTTCACTGTACCTAATGCTGTCGTATGTTTGGTTTCAGCACAGCATGCGTGGATTTCTTCACCTTCTGTAATAAAAGCTTCATTTTTTTAAATTTTTTTTTAAGCAAGCACATGTTCAGGCAGTAAAATTGGCACTTTCTTTTTTCTTGGCAGTGCTGACAGCCACACTGATGGGCATTTGTAGTCAGAGGTTAGGTCCTCCTGGAGATACAGATCTCGGAGCATGCATCTGGTCCTTGTTTGAACTGTGTTGTCATTGCACAGTGGAGCCTGCGGTGTAACACGTCCGTAGCGTGTTGTGAGGCTGTTTTGCTGTTTGACTGGCTCTGTGTGACATACTCACGTGTGGCTGTCCTTGAACTGTGTGGTAAGCTTGCCTTGTGTTGGTGGCAGTCATCTCACCGCACAACGCGCCCCGTAAAACCACACCAAGTCTGCCGTGAGTCGGGGTGATGTTTTATTGTGTGTTAACTTTTTCCTGCTTGCAGGAAGGGCATTCACTGCTGCTGTCTGTAGCTCTGAAAGCTTCCCCAAGGAAAATAAAGACATCCAGTGTCAGACCACCCTTCCAAAGACCCAGAAAGACAAAGATGTATCTGCTTTTTCTTTCTTCAGTTTTCCTTGACTGAAGAAGGAGTGCCAGCCTGTTAGGGAAGAACTTGCATAAACGGAGATTCAAGGGCATGCCTCGGCTGTGCTGCAGAGACCGATCTAGCAGATGCTGCGTGGAGTCCCTGCACCTCTTACAGGCTAGGCTGGGAATCAGCCCCTGGTTCTTCTCTTTACATTTTAATTCCAGCCATTTTCCTCCTCCCCCCAGTAAGTGCTGTCATCTTTCCTGGAGAGTTTATGTTCTTGAATTAGGGCTGATGAGATTCATCTGCTCTGAGTGCCTTGATAAATCAACAGATTAACACTTCCTCGCCTTTCAGGTTAGAGCACACCTGGCACACGTGGTATTTCTCCAAGCGATGCTTGATCAAGGCAATGAGGAGCAAAAGAACTTTCCGAATATCCTGTGTGGTTAGGGGAATCCTCCGGTTTAGGGGCAGCCATACGTTTTGATACTCTCGTACTGAGAAACTAAATGCACTGAAATAACTTTCGTACAGTTGTCGCTGTTCTGAAGGAGTATTGTGGAAGTTGCAGTTTAAACGCTGCAGCACTTTCAAACAATTTGGGCCTTTGAGTCGTTAGGAGCAACATACAGACATACAAGTAGCTGCTACTATATGGTAGATTTCTTTGTTCTCTACGGTTACCTCCCACCCGGCTTTCCTCTTGCTCAAAGGTGACCTGCAAATGACTTTTTTTAAAAAAAATGGGCCTGCCACTCTTTTTAGCTTTGTAACGATGTGTGAAACTAGCCCGAAA